GTTGCATAACTTCCTCGTGACATCCAAGAAGTTAATTATTTAATCCCGAACTAATACAAACACAGTCAAACAGCTGCGTTGACGTGTTCCTGCAGGTAAGCTAAAGGCTAAGTTGGATTTTCTGCTTTCACGTGGGCGCATTGGCAGTCTCAATCATCCAAAAATCACAACACCAAATTAAACTTAATCCCCAATCCTGGCCACCCGTATGCTTTTAAAAGACCCCTCTATGGTGCAAGAACAACATTCCTTCTTCATTGGTTTACACTGCTGGATATCAATACTATCATTACAATTGGACATGGTTTATTTTGACTACTATTACCACTAATACAATAATAGACCTTAATAGTAGCTTACCATGAGGGGGGTGAACTTGGAGTTGTTCCACTTCATTTTTTTTCTTTGCAGCTGCGCGTGGGGGCCCGCCTCGAGGTCAGACGTACAGTAACACCTGACCCCAAACTCGATCCCAAACCCCCTCCTTCCCTCCCATCACGGGACGTCCCAGCAGAGCGACGGCAGCAGAGGCCAGTCACCCCTGAAGGCTTTGTTTAGTTGGTCCGGAGCGCATATATAGACGGACTATTGTAAAGTCCCGCGACTCCCTTTACGTTGTTTTCTTTGGGAAGCAGGAAATTGGATGACTGGCTACCTGCTACAACAACATCCTGCACTTGAGAAGCCGTCTTTTCACCCATACCCACCTATTATTTCCGCTTTCCATCATAGACGCAAGTGCAGCGAAAGAAGAAGTTGAGAGACTTTTTTTTTTCTTTTCTCCCCCCTTTCTCTGTGCGTGGGCTGGACTCGGTTCCACTCAGGTTGAGATCAAATTGGCCCCATCCAGATGCTTCCGTTGAAAATAGCACAGTGAGGGCAAATATTTTAGCGTTTTTTTTTTTTTTTTTTAACCTCGACTCCACCTCGTCCAGGTTAATAGGCCTTTGTGAGCGAGAGCGCGGGGAGAGTGGGGAGAGTGGGGAGAGTGGGGAGAGTGGGGTGGTCGTGTGCACAAGTGAATGTTTCTATTCCAGTCCTGTTCGGGTCCACTCAGAGCTGTCAGAGGCTGTCATGTGCAGGTTTAGAGGTGGTCTCAGCAAGCATGAGGGGATAATTCCTCACAAATATCACAGAATTGAGCGTTTATGAGGTGCTTATAGGTGGCTACAGCCTAATGCAAAGTTTGAATGGGGCAGAAGCAAAACCATGCAGAATGTATTTATAAGATAAGATAAGAAACTTGATGTATACGGACTATACCGAGGATTCCAAAGCATACTAATACTGTTCATTGCTAAATAATGCTAAATTACAGACATCTTATCTGAGGTATCACCATAGCAACAAAGCAAAGCTATTTTTTATATATTCATTTGTTTTAACAATACCATGCAATTCTCAAACATGCAACTGTACAGTACAAACAGTTTTCACAGTTTGAATGATAAAGTTTCTTTTAATGGTCTATTATATAGCTGCGTGTTGAGGTAAGTTGCTAAAAATGCAAAATATGTATTGTGTCGTAATCATGAGTTAAATGTTGGCCTGTTTTGCTATTTTTCCTCTGTCTTATCGATGGTCATGACAATGGTTTTCAAGGAAGCGGTTCTTGGCAAAATAAATGTTTTCTATGTAATAAGTGTATAATCCTTATGTATTGCATGCTGATACATGGAACAATATAATAGCAATATGTGACTTTTAGAAAATATAGTTGGAGTGTCCTGTTTGTAAATGTGTTAAAATCTGAATGTCGCAATTTTTTCTTGAAAGGATTTTTCTTGTCCCTATGCGACAATGTGAAATGAAGGCGATAGAACATTCAGTTTATTGTAAATCTACATGTGCTAATTCTATAATCACTTAAAACTGGGCGGGACAGATCTAATTCATGTGGTGACTTTAAATTGTCTAAAACGTGTCTTTGTTGAACAGTTGTAGTTTTATCCTGTTGATCTCAAAGTCCCACTTTTATAATCCTGTCTGTTCAGCGGTGCACCTGCTCCGCTGTCACACCAGAGCATGCCCTTTTTCCATCATAAAATCTAAATCTTTGGAGGAGCCTAGACTTTCCAAATTGGAAAAGTCTGCCGGAAAGCAAAAGTCATGAAACGAAATTGAGCGAAATGTCCTCAGTGAAGCTCATTATAGACGGCACATTTTGAAGCATTTGTTTTGTGGTTTCTATAATAAGTAATATAAAACTGGGTCAACAAGCCCAGAATCAATAAGCTAAATTTTCTCACAAAGTGAATGAAGGCAGGGAAGGCAGGGGTGTTCAAATGTGATTATAATTAGGCCCAGGGGAAAACCTTTTTCACATAAAAAGGTCACTTGAAAAAAAATGCAATACAAATTAGCTTCAATTAGTCCCACCTCAATTAAAGTGTTATTTTATGGTCACTGATATAGGCTCATTATATGGTCCGGCAATCTTTTTACTGCTAAATGTTATCAAAATAGATATTCGCCATCTTTCTGGCTGAAGTACCAGGGTAGACCCAATTTGCAACACTTTGGACGCCACCGCCATTTTCTTATTTTTAAAGTCAAGATTCATTTTTTGACAATATAGTTTGATATTTCATCGTTATCAATTGTCTTCCAAAGAAAAAGCCTAACATAAATCATAAAAATGGTCGTGTAAAGAATAGCCAACATGTAAAAACATACCAAACCCTCACCGTGTGTGTATGAAGACTAGTGTTGAGATTTAGGGCCATACAAAAATAAAATAAATATTGTTGTTAATACTTCTTCTTCAGATAATGCCCGTTTATAGTCTTTGAATGCCCATATTCTTGTAATGAATGTCTCAAAACATCACTCACACCAACTTTCTCTTCAAACACAATATAAAGCGGATATGTCCACTATAAATCTGTTACTGCGTCGATAATTAGTGTCCGATGGCCTTTTTAGGTCTCATATATTTTTCTGTTTATTTGCTTCCCCGAAGGACATGTCATAGCCCCCCATTTGTTGCTCCCTGCCATTGTATTAAATGCACTGCTTTGTATTGTCATTATGTGGATGTACACTTCCTGTATATCCACAAATGACAATACAAGAGTAGCTATACAGAAAAACCATGAGAAAAAAAGACAGAAATCTACAAAAGAATCATGAAACTGAGCCCATAATGGACAAAACACATGCACATGATAAGAGTCGCCGCCCAAACCACAAATCAAACCATCAGTCATGTGTTGCAGTTGAAAGAAATTACCAAGACATTGTTCCCATTTTGCAAAATATGATTTATTCTTTTTGCAGAAACAGACATCTGTTTTTGATCACAATTCAAAATGTATAAAAACATTGAAAGAAGAATCATAAAAATGGAATAATGAAGGCACTTTGCTACGGAGAGGCTTTGTGCAAGATGCAGCTGGCTGTGGTCACCAAGATGCATTCAAAGACGGCTGGTTGAATTCCAGTTTAAAAAGTCCAGAAACCACAAGATAATAATATTTACAACATAAAAACATGTTAAAAGTGGTCCTCGTTTGTTTGGATCTGGAAAACAGTTCACTTCTATGATATCAAAATGTGCGTCTCAGAACAATAGTTACATTTGTGGTTACTTTTTTTGGTCTGAACAACATTGTGGTTCCGTAACGTGACAGTGGTTGAGGCTGTAGTGGTGTTTTCGCCTCAGGCCCACAGTGGCTGGTGTAAACTCCTATCATTCTGACAAAAGATGAAAAACAAAAGTGAATTTCAAATGATGCTGGTGTTAAATGTGCCACTGCTCAACAATGACTAATCCTGAAGAAGTATCAAAATAAAGACAAAATATGCTTCTGCCTGTTAAATAGTGGCTCATCAATTCATTGCATTTCTAATCATTTTTTGTATAGCCCTAAATCACAGCAGCAGTTGTCTGGGAGGACTTTAGAAAATTGTCGATTCACCAACAGAGATCAGAGAATCAAACAGAGAATAATAACAAACACAAATGAGCCATTGGTCCATAGGGGGCGCACAACCAATCATTGTCCATAAATGTCCTGGATCATCGCCACTGTCCTTGGACGATGCAATTATATTTTACACAATCTGCATGGGAAGGGGGCGGGGCAATGGCCTCTCGGTCGTATGATATTATAAATTACTTAAACATGCATTTTTTCACTCTAAAATTAACGTTTAGGGTGCAAGGGAAAACAATTATAACAGGGTCAGAAGTGGTGAAAGTCAATTGTTATTGTTATGTCCCATTTAAAGCTGGGGTACCAAACTCTGGTTTAACATAAATAATACGTGTTGTGTTTCCCAAAAGAAAGTCTTGTAAAGGTATTTTTGTGAACAAATAGGGCCGTAACATGCAGTTTAAATATAGTTAGAAAACATGTTATATTTGGCATACTTGTAAGAAAGAACTCTGCTGATTGGCCGAGTGAGGTGTGGTCCTCTTTTTGTTTTGTTTTTTTATGTTTCTGTCTGAAAAAGCTGAACATGCGACAGATGCCAAATATACACACTGCAAAAAGTGCTGAATAATACGTTAAATTGTCAATCGTCAAATTGGGCTAAATAAATCTTAAATTGAATACATTTTGACTGTTTCAAAACAAGATATGCAAATGGGACAGATTCAAAATATGTCTCCGTTGGAATGAGAAAATAATCAAGCAACAGTTCTTGAAATCAGACTAAATGGCTTTGTCCCGTTGGAAAATTTTGTTTTAACACAGTCAGAATATTCTCAGATTAAGATAAAAATCCCTGGATTCAAGCACCTCATAATTGATCATTTTTTGCAGTGCATGTGAAACTATTAGAACCAAACCGTTTTGAAAGCTAGAACTATATTTGTGTAGATTTTTATGACATAATTCAATTTGTGTGATTTGAAACCTAGGTACCCCAGCTTTATCAACTGAAAAAATGTCGGCAAAAATGAAAAAACAAAAGAAATATTTACAAGCAACAAACAGTGGACTGGTTTTGAAGTGAAAAGTCTCTTGCATGTTTTGTGTTCAGCAGGTTTTTCATTCAGAGCTGGGGGAGGCGGCAGAGTCTATGTCGTCATTGTCCAGTTCGTTTGGAGATCCGGACTGTCCGCCTTTCACCCTCTTCCACTTCATCCTCCTGTTCTGGAACCACACTTTCACCTAAAAACACACAAATAATGTTTTTAAATCACTGGGAAAATATAGAAATGTAAAGAACTAATCGCACCGCAAATTGCCAGAAAACCTGCTTTAGTAAGTAAAATCTTGAGGTAATAAACATGCAAGTTGTGTTCATCTGAATATTGCATTTTGATCTGACCACGAGAGCTTTACCTGATGAAAATAATGTGTAATGAACTAGAAAAATGACAGAATCCATCGAATAGTTCCACATTTGAAATAGCTTAATTCACATTTCTAAATTTCAAAGTAAAAGTCACCAACAACAACAGCACATACCGTTGTCATATCAGTTAGATGATAATTGGGCTCGGGTTAGTCATCTCGGTTCAAAAGTATTTTTCATTGTATCGCCAGACTCTAACTATTATCTTGTATCAGAATAAAAAAATTAAATACAAAAATGCTGGTGTTTTATTGTATTGAGTTGTTTTCTGAGTTCTGGGAATCTCATATTTTAACATGTTCAACGCCGTCAGCAAAAATCAGACAATTTTCCCAGTTAAATCTTCCTGCTTGGATTCTTTTGGCCCGACAGAGACAGGAATACGCCAATTGGCCGAAACTGAACAGTGTTTCTCAATATGTGGGTCGCGTCCAAAATGCCAATCAGGGGGAGTGCTGGTTTCAACAGTTTTAAAGTAGAGCTGTGATGCTGCATGCTAATAGCGATATACATGGACTAACAAAGGGGCAGAAAAAGAATGAATGAATATATATTAATATATTTAGTACTTTTGTGATCTCAATAATGCTCTAAAGCTATAAATAGCTACCCGCGCATATATATTTAGCCTCGCCGCATCTTTCAACCCCTGCCAACTGTGAGTGTGGGAATGACAAGGGAGAGAATCATGGGTACATTTTGTTGGGTTTCCATTAACACATTAGTTTGTTACTAATACATTATAAATATTATTAAAACATGTTTTGAAATAAACATTTTCAAATTGTCAAATTACTCTTCAAATTGTGAAGATGAAGAGATGTTTTTAGAATGCAAGCAGCAGTTAGACCCGCCCCCACAGGTCCCTGATTGGACAAAATTAATTCAAATTCTTGATGGACAGCTGCGTCTGCTCCCCAGAAAATATTACTGATAATGCTTATTCAAAAGAGAGGAACTGCACTTAAAATACATTATACTACAAGGTCTTATGGTCAAAAATATGTATTATTTTCTTAACCCTTGTGCTATCCTCGGGTCAAAGTGATCCACCAGTGATGAAAAAATACCCCAAATAATTTTCTTTTGGGATGAATTTTGATGATTTTTCCAAACTTGACCAGCCTTTTTAAACCCTAATTCAGGATATTTTTCTTCTACTTTTAGACACAAGGATAGCGCAAGGATAAAATACAACTGAAGTTACAGACATCACCTTTAAGTCAGGGACAGACTGGTGCAAAGCTCAAACCAACTATGAATATTAGCGACAGAATACGGCCAGTTGGTGAAAAGGAAACTAAAAGGGTGATTAATCAAAAACGTTGCGTCTAATTTTAGTCTTTCATTTGAAGCGGATTGAAAGTACGCCAGGGGCTCTTTACGATGTCGCCCGAAACGGAAAAACCCGGACAGACGGCAGAGGGATCGGGAGTGAGGATGGGACAGGGACTGGGGTATGTTTGGGAGCGTGTGTGTGCTGGTGTGGGGGACAGAGGGAAGCCTGGGAAATGCATTTAGCAGCAGACGGTGTGTGTGGTCAGTGAGTGGCAGTGTGGCCCGGGACGAGGGGGAAAGAGGGGCCCACATCCCAACGTTAATACGACCACAAGATTCGGAAAATACATATAAGCGAAAAAGTCCATGTTGTGAGTGAATAAGATTGAACCGTTTTTACACAGGGCAACGAAAGCTTGACAATGATTTGAGTAAAAGGTCTTTGTCCCAACAGAAAGAATCTTGTAAAAACAAAATTGCGTGAACAAAGCAAACATATTAGCAAACATTTCAAATCAAAAGTGAGGGTGGTCCTCTCTTTTGAATTTTCTGTGTCAAAAAATACATGTGGTAACCCAAAATTAGGTATCCCAGCTTTAGGAAAGTCTCAGTTTTTAAACATGATACAGAAGATAATTTATACATCTATATTGTTCAATCTCGTTCGGTCTCAGATTACATATTTATATAGAAATTGTAATAAATGTGATAATAGTAATGGTACAGGCCTATATAGTTTTTGATGGCTTTTCCAGATTGATGTATTAGCCCTAATAGAGCGATCATACATAGCAGTTTTTCCTCATATGTAACTAATTTGGGCCCAAAAAGGAAGTAAATTCTAATAATGATGTTAAATATTTGTCATATAATCCATATTACCACAAGTCTTCTATAGTAACAATACTTAAATACAATTAAGTACTGCACATGCAATGCTGCTGAAAAGGCAAAGTACAATAAAACTCTCCAAACTTTGAGGTTCAGACAAATTGCGAGCAGACATCAAACAGCCGATCATTGCAGCACATGGTATAAAAGGCGCGGCACACACATGTTTTATCCATGACCGTATGTACCCACACGGAGAGCGCGTCCCAAACCCCCTCCCTCCCCTCGTCTCCTTTCCTCTCCACTCCACACCATTATTCCTCCTCCACTTGGCAGAAATGTAGGGCACTAAAGCTGGGGGGAGGCAAGGGGAGGTCTTGGGAGACGCCGCCACGGTCCCAGCGTCTTCCTCACCTGTCTCTCTGTGAGGTCCAGGTTGACGGCGATCTCGTAGCGCCTCAGTCTGGTCAGGTAGTTGTGGTGCGTGAACTCGGCCTCCAGCTCCCGAAGCTGCTCTTTGGTGAAGGCCGTGCGCTCCTTCCTCGCCTTACAGCTGGAGTCCACCTTAAAACTGGAGTCCTGCACATCTGCACAAGCAACACACCATCAAAGACAATCCAACACAATTTGACTCTTGACTTTGCTGTCAAAGAAAAAATGGAATCACCAATCAAAAGTCCATTTCCCTCTGTAATTTTTTCAATGCTAAATAACTAAATTCTTACATGTATTTATATTAAATTCATGGGGTGTTAGTCTACACATTTTTACTTCTTTCCCACTCCATTTCAAGCTGACTAATTCTAATTAAGAAATGCATTTGTAAACACATATTGCAATTGTAACTATACCAACACATGGTGAAACTAGGGTAAATACTGTACCTTGAATCTACATATATATTTATGTATTTGCATGTGTAAGTATATACTGTAAGTACAGAATACAACATGTACAAAAGGTCACGTAAAATAAGTAATGTAAATACTGTAAGTAGTTCTGACTGTTAAATATTTGCTAGAATGAATGAAATCAATCAATCCAGTGATATATGGCAAACTTTTTTTTTTCCGAGTTTCACCTGTAGTCTCAGTGGTGGTACTAGTTTAAAATTCACGGCAATATTTTCTATATTTAATAAAAACGTTTGCATTATAGTATTTTCACATCACCAAATGTTAATCCAATTGAGTGTGTGCATTTTTCCCCCTCAAACATAAGTCTTGGAATTTCTGAGCAGAGTCCTTGTCATCTCATGTGTCATCTCTGATTATACAATGTAAAAGATGCTAAGTATTATGTAGTATAAATAGAATTAGCAGTACTATAGGCGTGTCTATAGAAGCTAGTAGCTTTGGGTTAGAGTTAGAATCAGCAGAGACCTGGATCCAACTGACTAAATCTTATGTATTAGCCTAGACCAGTTCTCTAATGTCACTTTAGCAATATAATTTCGCAACAGTGCCCTTTCACCCTTTGTTTTTAATTGTTTTAGCTGTACTTCTACCACGTATCTCATAGCAGCACTCCAAAGAGAGTTTAATGAGGCTCCCTGTACAGTAAACGCAGCAGGTTGTAATTGGACCACCCGATCGCTCGCCCTGCTGTATACTTTTTCTATACACTTGTGCTATTTCTGCAAACGCCACATATAACATTTTGCCTTAACAACTACAATCATTTGCATCATATTTTTTGGGTCGTGGCGAGGCCCTTCTTTCTGTCCTGCGTTTTTAAGTCCAAGTCACATAGGGAGTACATTAGACCAGGAATGCGGCGGAACATCGTTAAAAAGTCTAACAAAAGAACAAAGGTGACCGGGATGTGTCTCGGGCGGCGAAACTGGGAATAGGCTGTGCGAGAATCTAGTCATTTTATATAGATATGCAGAGTTTTAAAAGTACAGTATCCAGCGGTGGAGAAGTGGCCTCTAGTAACAGCGGCGGAGGTCAGTGCATAAAGACAATTGGACACATGTAACTTATGGGACTTTCTGTGATAAACACAATAGAGCTATGTATGTAAGTATGGACTGGGATTTTTTATTTTTCTTCAGGCATTTTGGAAAAGGTTCATTTAAAAATACTGCATCACTACATTTTAATGCAAATTTGGTCATGTTTACTTTAAAGCTGGGGTACCTAACTTTTCCCCCTCCTCTATAAAACATTTTAAAAGTTTCTGGACAAATCAGACCACTGCATGCTATTGTCATCCTGGTAGAAAACACGCTATATTTTGCATGCATACTGAGAATACCTACATAAAATAAGCCCTAGGAGTCACTATTTGACGCTTTGGGCTGAGAGCTGATTGGCTCAATACGGGAGGTGCTCTTTCTTTACCATTTTTATGTCTGGAAAAGCTGATCTAAAGACATGACAGAGGGCAAAAATACACGCATGTGAAAAGTAGTGATAGATCCACTACTCAATTCAATTTCTCTTTGGTTAAAGTTTGGTACTGGTTCTGGGATTGGTCCATGTTTGTCTGGGAGATGTCTATAGAAATATATTTATGTAAGTATGGTTGCACCACCCCCCTGACCCAGAATTGGATTAAGGGGAAGAAAATGGATGGATGGAATGGGTTTTGTCGATGCAATGTCACACATAACAATCAATTAGTTGTTAAATTGAATTGAAAAATAGAATTTGCCTTCATTAAATACAGTTTTTAGCACTAGCTTTGCAGACTTGTTATTCTTCCTCTCTGCGCACACACTGTACATACTGCGCTGTACATCTTCATTTGCGGCTATAAATGCCAGTGGAAGTTCTTGCTAACGTCTGTCCCCAGCCTCCAAAAGCAGCGCACTGGGGCAACACTCGCGCATTGGTAGCGACATGAGCCACTGATGTAACCGCTCGAAAATGGTCTAATTTGTCAAAAGTGAGAAGTTTTGCCGAGTCTCTGCCAGGAGCCCGCGCCAGAACGGGAACTGGGAGTGGAGCCGCAAGATCCAGATGTGTCCGATACACACACGTGCAGCCTACACACTCACAGCTGCATGTGTGAGTGTTTGCTCTACGGTTACTATAGAGTTTTGCTAAATTCCATAGACATTCTTGGTCCTTTTTGACCTGTGGCTGTTTCCGTTGTTTTGTGACTGTGTAGAAATGGCATTTGCAGTTACGATAAGTTGTTGTGGAGTTTTTTAACCCCCAGTTTATTCCTGATTTAGTTTGATTTTCTATCGTAAAATCAAACAAACTTGCAGATATATGCTAGTTTTAATGTCTCACACTGATAATACTCCGATGATGAACGTCTCATGACTTAAAGGAGAACTCCATAAGGTTATAAATGTTTACTTATTTATCTAGAATTGCGTGTGTAACCAGGCTTGCTCCCTTGACATATCCTACATCCAGTTCACTGATCCACAAGGGGAATTTCTTGAGCAAATATGACAAAATAATGGCATAAAAATACAAATAGAGTCGAAATCATAAAAGGTATTGAAAGTTTGAAAAAGCAGATCTACAAATCTACAGATGAAACTCAGAAAAAAACATTGGAAGATCATTCAAAAGTCTATTTACTTCTGTAATTTAACAAAAACTGTCATTTGTTATAATGTTGACAATTGGCTCACAGCAAAAAAAACAATAAAAACCTCTTAGAACATTTAAATATTACCGAAATGGACTGAAAGCCATTTGATGAGTCTGTATCATATATTGACTACATATTTAAAGTTGAATTACAGAAAAATATGAACTTTTTAACAATATTCTAATTTTCCGAGTTTGAAGTGTTAAATTAGGTCTTTACACTGGACGATTCCCATTTGAAGGAATCTATACTTTTTTAAATTATTTTTTTATTTGTGTTTCTCAGTACATTTGTATTGTATTGTACATTTCACACTTTGAGTTGCCTTGTACATGAATTGTGCTATACAAATAAACTTGCCTTGCCTCTCCTTGCCTTTTGTGGATGGTTAATAAATGGTATTTTTACTCTTTATCAGTCAATGACACTATAATTACAAAAACTAACTTTTGAGAACCTATTCTTCTAACATTTGAGAGTCTACTGTATTCTTGCGTTCACTTCTTGTTCCAGCCAAGATTAGGAATTATTATCAAAAATATGAAAGAATTGGATTTTAACTGCCGTAGAAACAGTCCTTATTTCACAAACCCATGGATGTGATAGAACCATAAAACCATTCAAATCAACCTCAGTGGAGAAAACACTTTTTCCGGCCATTTTTTGTTTCTTTTTTTTGACAATTTCTGCGTTTCTTCAGCCACAGCAGGAGGAAACACAGGCTGAAGCTGCTGTAATATCGCTGGTATGTGGAAGCGGGAGCAGGTCCTGGGTCTGTCCTGCATGGTCCTGGTCTGGAGCGGTGTTAGGCTGGTTTTACACATGAACACCTGGCAACCCACACCCTACGCCTCCCAAACAGACCTCCATAAATATTCCCCCCACGCACAGCCAGAGCCCCCAGCCTCTCAGCAGGGGCTCTCTGCAAACATTTGGTCCCCTTTAAAGCCGGGGCCGTAATGTCCTTTGTCTTAATCACAGCTCAATCAGGACTTAATTAGTGCTGGTGTAAAAGTATAAATGGGTGATGGATTTATGTGACGAAAAAAAAGGATTGCTTCTGTTGTTTTTACAATGATAAAAAAAGTGCTAAATGGGTGTGTGCTAAAGTTTGGACGAAGTTGGAGATGGATTTATGTTTTTCTAATTCCTAGTTTGATTATTTTAGTGCATACCGGGGACACAGAATGGAGAAAACTTCACGGCAAATACTATCAAGTTTAGTTAGTAAGAAAGTAAGCAGTCTGTATTCATATAGTAACTTTACTAACTTTAATAAAAGGTCCCAGCACAGATAATTGGCCAGTTTTAGAAGTAGTTATCCACATGGGAAACCTTAAAATTATAATGGCCTTTTTAGGGGCTTAAAATTCTATACAGTGTCTCAGTCAGTTCAAACACAGTCGTTTTGAAGTCTGGCATATACTGTACATATTCAGTCAAATGGAAAAATAATTTACCCCAGAAGTAAAACAGCTCAGAGTTTTAAAGCTGGGTGACTTTTTTCTTTTTCTCATGCATGGTGTGTGTCCGGCAGGAAGAAAAAAAGTGTTATGAGTGAAAAATCAGACCAAAATATTCTGTTATTGACCAAAATATTCAGTTTTTTGCAAATACGTTGCAGGCAGACAGAACCCTGGGAGTCACAATTTGATTCTTTAGGCTGATTCTTTAGGTTTTCTCTAAATTCACTTCATCATAAGTGAATTAAAGATGTGGCAGGGGCCGATGTGACAACACGAGACAAAAGCAAACGGTTTTGAGAGATAAAACCAGTTAGAAGTATTCCATCACATTCACACATTACATTGCGGCTTGAAATTTAGGTCACCCAGCTTTAAATTTGCTCTATACATTTTTTATATTTTACTTAATTTTCTTGCACGTTGAAAAAACACATCCAGAGGCATCTTTCTCTGTTCATAACCAACTTTTGCAATCTCCTCTCTTTGTATATATTTCTTTCCAGCGGGTACTTGCTGCTACTTCACTTATCTCCACACAATATGATGCGATATGACAACGGTTTTCCTTTCTGCACCACAATTTTGGACCATGGCGAGAGTGTAGCATCCAGCTGATATCAGATAGTGTATAGGGTTTCTGCCTTGGCCCCGCTCCATCTATTGAGGCCAAACAGCAAAGTATAGTATATAGCGGCCCATCTGTATTGAGAGAACGCCTCGAGCCTTTTTCCTAATTTATGCTGCTCTAACACAAACCCACGGACCCTCAATGGTAGATATTTTTTTTGTCTTAATTCAGGGGCTGATGCGGTGGTCAGACGGGTTGCATGCACTCAGTGGGAGATTGTGTTACAGCTTAACGACAGGAAAATGTCAATGGACAAGAATGCAGGAGGTGGGCTAAAGAGAATAGTGATTTTAGCAGACGCGGCTTGGCCTGTTCCGAGGGTGCGTGAGCGAGGTTACAATAAGGTAAGAGCAGGACCCCCACCCCTGTGCCCAATTACAGCCGTGTTGTTGCAGAGGTAATTGGACAAGTTCTGTGTAATCAGTTATGTTTATACAATGATGCAAATGTTAATCACAGGTTTGACACGAGAGATGGAATAACAAGAAATCAAGAAAAAAACCAATACTTTTGTCTGTTTTTTTGGTGATACATAAATGACATGAGAATTGCAGATACTGGATGAGTTTTTGATTGATTGGCACATGATATTGGCTTGCAAAAGCATTAAAACAATTTGAAATACTGCTTAATTTCAAACAGATAGAGATATTCATATAAATATTTTTGATTTTGAATGATCACAACAAAGTAACAGATATCTTGTTATTTTAACCAATAGAAATTATACAATTGGGGTTGAATTATTGTCAAGGAAATAAGCTTATATAGATTAAAAAACTAAAACCATTTTAAAAACAGAAAAAAGTATATTTTTTCTCTTCAATTCAAATGTGAAACTTTGCAAACTCCCTTCAGCAAATTCTACTGCAATTTTTCAAAGGAAACGCTTGTGTTTTGTAAAAGTACGACTTCAAATTCTTTCAATGGTGAAATAATATGTGAAATAATGTGTCCGTATTCCCTCCATAAAAATACATATGAATAATAAACTACACAACAAACAGTACGTTGTTGCCCCATGTTTAAGTACTAATGTACTTAAGTAGGCCACTCTTATAAAACAATAGTGTGCGTTTCCAGAGGATACAGGCCACATTTAAAAAGCGTCATTAATCACAGAGTTTTTTGAAATCCTTTGAACAATAAGAGGATGCAACTGTTGCTTTGACTGTTTAATTACAAGTCACTTCACCCACTTGGCCACAACACTTACTCCCATCATGACCTGTGGCTGTGGCTGTACTTTTATGAGGACAATGTAATCAGGTCTTAATACCAGCACAATATTATCAGTGCACAGCGGCAATACGTGGCTCAGCACTGCCATCAGTAGTACTAATATTGCTAATTTTTTGTTTTGTTTTTATATTCTCACTCCTTTTGGTCTTATAGCTTTTTAATATTTAGTACTTGTGTATATATAACATTTCTATTTTTGCCATAACAGATAAGGAATTTCAATTATATACCTCAGTACATTTATTATTTGTATATGTGTTACTTGTATTATTTGTACATATGGCACAAACTCAAATGATAAAATGTCTCCTTTTTAGTTTTTTTTTGGTTTTTTTTAATACAAAGGTCATGCATTTACTGCACTAAAATATATATATATCAGTTTCTATAATAACCTCTTGAACACAATTCTATCCAACCTCAATCCACATTTTGTATTTGTTTTTTTTTTTTTTTTTTCGGGTTGAATGTATACACAAGTTTGAACTAAACATATTTGATTGGTTCATGGATCGACCATCACACCCACCTGTGGCATCTCTCTTCCTCTTGCTGCTGCTCTTCTTGTCCGAATCGCCCGACGCCACGCTCTGTGGCGAATACTCTCCGTCCAGGCATCCCGCTGGCATCCTATCCACACTATCCATATCTGCCACCACACTGCCCCCTCCAACAGAGACCCCCACTGGGACCACCCCGGCCGACGGAGGCGCAGGCGGGCAAATCTCTGGACGACTGGCTCCGAACTGCCACTCTGCAACTCTTTGGTATCCCGCCTGGACATCGGTTTGGTAGAGTCTGTCGTCCCTGGGGTATGGTGAGGGCACTAGGCAGGCGCCGGGGTTGAAGTCCGCTGTGTAGGCCAGGTAATCGGGCTTCTGGTGCAGGGAGAAGGGAGGCTGAGGCTGGTAGGGCGACTGGAGGTTGACCTGTCCCCCCGGGTGATGTGGGTTTCGCATGCAGCCCCATATTGGACTCCCCGGGTGGACGCTCCGCATGCAACTGCTGGCCGGCTGATCCATGCTGAAATAAAAATCTCTTCAACTGTCACTTTTTTTACCTTCTAAGAAAGCAACCTCAAACTTGATGTGATAATCAAAATAAAATGTTTTGTTGTCAAGCTGGGAAGACTTGTCAATACCGAGAAATAGCATTCACAACTATATCTGTGCAGTAAACCTCCCAAAATGCTCTGTTCCAACCCCAATTTTAAAACAATTTCGTTGCCAGCTCATAAACCGGGCTCTGTCATTCCATCCAAAATTCTGACGTGTTGCCAGGTTGCAAAGTTTTCTCAAGCCTCTGCTCCTCTCCTGCTCGCATCCCAGACTGCAAAAGCCCTCTCTCACAACTTTCCCAAAGCCATTCTTGACAAGCGAGCACCTCCTCCTATTTAAACATATAGGTGGGAAAGAGTGGCGAGTTTATGGGGTGTAACGTGATCTGTTTTGGGGGGTGGGAGGTGCTGGGGGGCGGGGACAGAACCCGGCTCGGACCACATGTTGCTTTGGTGGTGTACCCTCCAAACCAACGCTGCATCAACTATTAATCACTGGGGAAATTTTATATGCAGATCTAATGGGCTTTCCAGACGCTCTGATTTTTTTTTTTAAAGGGACACTGCCTGTAAAAAAAATAACGTTAGAAGCACACACCCATGAAAGAATTACAGACCTACGGATGCCTCGGTTCCATTTTGACACCCAATTTAGTCACCGCTTTTGACACCTTTTTTCGGAGAGAGAGGTTAACCATACCCCCTTGACGCGGCACCCTTGCTCCCCTATGTCCTGCTCGATCTACAAAGTCAGTTTTTTATGGCGCTCGAGAAATATATATCGTGTGAGAGTGAGTGAGTGTGTGCGTGTGGTGTGTAGTCCTGTTTCACACCCAGACCCACCTGGCTTGGACTCTTATGGCTGCGAAGGTGACAGGCTTTGGGTGAACCCCCGGGCCCAGGCTCGGCTCACACCTCCGGAGGGCTCCAGAGTGGGACACCGTATAAAATTTCGCGCCAATATTTCAGCAACACAAGACGCTGATTTATTTTTTGACAGAATAGAGAAACTTGACTTCAGCTTTTCATTTACTCAAAAGTTCTCGTCATATTTCAGCTTGACACAAAGTCTGCTCATTTTAAACTGTGACAAAAGTGTAGAGTTTTTACAACACAAAGATTGTTTGAAAATGGTGTCACACTTTGTAAGATGAGATGAGATAGACTTTATCGATCTCACACTGGACAAATGTACATGTCACATATGGCATGGATAGAATCATTTGGATTGTGCAAAAGACACAAGTGTGCAAACATGTCAAGGTTAAAAATATATTCTGTGCAGGGTATAATTGTGTACAATAAAAAAGTTGCAATAAAAAAAGAGTGGCAATAGCAGTGCTGTTTTTTTCTGTCCTAGTGCTAAAGCTATGACTGTATCTCTGTATTGCACCTTATTGGACTGTATTTTAATATGCATGCTAGAAACTTGCACTTTTTACTGAACTGTATTATATGTACTTGCTCTTTTTATTTGACCTGTATGTAAATATGCAAGTTATATGATTGTATTGTCAAGGACTACAGATGGAAAGTATAGTAGTGCTAAATCTGGTGCAGCCATCTTTTCAATGCAACTGCACATTATCCTTAATAAATTAAACTTTTAAACCATTGATAAACTATTCCAGGAACATTATATGTCCCGTCACATCCGTGGAAGCTGGGGTATCTAACTTTCAAACCACAAAAAATGCAATAAAACCATCTAACTAGCTCCTAACTCTTAAAGCAGTTCAGTGCCACCACTGATTTTCTCATTCATATTTTTTTGGCCCCTGTAGCATCTATGGATCAGCTTTTTCAGACAGGAAAAGAGAAGACCACCCTCATTCAGTCAATTATCTGCAAATAGCAATCACAGGGATTTTTCTTACAAGTACGCAAAAAAAAAAACAATTCTAAAGAAGGTAAAGACATATACGTGAGCAGTCAGTGTATGCTTGTCTTGGAGGAAGCTCTTTCTACAGAAATATTATTCCACAATACGTAACTCATCTATCGTTTCCAAGAAGAATGTTCCACGAGGTTTGTTCTATTTCTATGGAATGATGTGAGTCACACCACATCCAGAACATGACGGTGTTGCATTAATACAGTGTACTTCACTAATGGAGCGTGTGTGTGTGTCCTGACAGTGTAGCATCTGAAGAAAGTGTCTCCAACCTACACCTCAGGAGCCACCAGGAGCTCACCACCCCGACCGCTGCCCAAGGAATTAGAAAAAAATATGCGGATTATTTCAAAATGTTATGAATTGCATGTCTACAGCCATTGTTAGTAAGTAATGTTTATTCATTCAGCACATGTAACAGACCAAGGTCACCCAAAGCATTCTACAATTGTTGAGAGTTCAGATTTTTGGATATTTCCTCCCCACGGTGATGACAGAAGCGAGAAACACTGCCGCATCAAAGCGTCCAACCAAAACCAAAACCAAAAGGGGAAACTGGAGCACCTGGAGTAAACCTTCACAGACACAGAGATAACGTACAAACTCCACACAGACCAATTGTGACTAACTTTTTAACTTTCTCCCCTGACAAATGATAATATTGATTTTTTTTGTGGCATGCACAGAAACTGCACACAACTCAGACAAGCTCGCCATTACAGTTTTGACGCTGAAAATGAGCTATCCGCCATTTTGCTTGTATACCCCTAATGCAATACTAAAATGCAATACTAAAATACAAGCTGACGTTTACAGAGCTGACTTAACCTAGATACTTGATTCTATAAAAGGTAAAAAAGTTTGTCACACAGTGGAATATTCAAAGTCAAGCAAATAAATCGCAAAAGAAAAAGGCCGTCTCTCAAAAAGTGTACCTTTAATATTCCCTCTTAGAAAGAACTATTGAGTTTCAACTACAGACTACAGAAGCATCGAAAGGATTTGATTTCTTACAAGGCAATATTTATTTCTAAAAAGTGTGAGAAATCCCACTTCCAAACGCCACATGTTGCTGCTCGGTTGTGGCTGCGTCTGGTCCCTGCTCCTCATCACTGAGCCCTGAATGAGCCCAGTCTGCAGTGATAAAAGCCACTTCCCAGTGAAGTCATGTCTCTAATACCATTAAAAATACTTCGGGCCAAAACCAAAACGCCGACTCCACTTTCGCCGTATCCTTTACCTCATAAACCCAGTCAACCACACAGGCCCCTCCCCCTTGCTGCTCTGTTCCCTCTCTGTCCTCGCGTTGCTCCTAATTCTCAAAGGGACAATAACCCGGACGTGAATCACACCTCAACGCCAAGAAAAAACAATATGTGAAAAATACAGAGACAGAAATTTATGGAAAAAGGAAGAAGTTTATCCCATTGTTCTTTTTGTCGGGAGGCACTACTTTGCTCAATTATCCCGAAATCAGGTGGATTATGTTGTATATGAAGCATGGCGGAGGATGTGATGGTTCCTTACATCTATTATTGATCTAGAATGAGTTAGAATCAAAGTGACAGGCACACTGTTATTTCACCATAACAAGCCGCCGGTTCTTTTTCACGTTGTTAAAAGTATAATAAGTGACTTCTTTGAACCTACGTTGTCGACCCGGAGTTTAAAGCAGTGGTTTGGACATAATGGGTTCCAAATTCACTTTATTTTTTATAGCACATTTCAAAACTGGTCAGTTCCCAAAGAGTATTTCCCAATAAAGTGAACATGGAAATTTCCATCGCACACAAGGCTAAAAATGGAAAACAAATACAGCTTTATTGAACTATGAGTAAAAAGTCTTAAAAGTCAATGGTACATATATATTAGTGCAACCTTTTACTACAAATATTGAATTGAAAAAAATATTGAAACAGCTGGAGCCTCCTTTTCAAAACATGTATGTTCATTATGTGTTTGTACAGGTTTTAAAACACACATTTGGATTTACTGTATATATTGTTACATTTACTGCATGTACTCTAAAATACTTATAGGAGCAGTATGTAAAAATCTGGCCAAAAGTGGTACTGCAGCCTCTCCCACTCAGGTTGCCAGATATGCAGACGAATCCTGCTGGGGCCATAACAGCTGAATAGACAAGAGTTTTGTCAACAACAAATCTATAACCAACACTTTTTTCACAAAGATAGAAATCCTGGTTTGGTTTTGCGGCCACATGGTACTTTACCAGTGAGATTAGTTTGACACGGTGAGTTCTGGCAACCCGGATCACAGACTTTCTGATTGGTGAAACGGTGGAGGGCGGGACATCGAAATGAAAACAATAACAAGATTTAGGGGCTGTAAAACTAATTTAGAAATTAAAATATGTCTGAACTGCAGTGGTTTGGTGGTTGGTTTATTAATTCCTCTTGATAGATTAAAGCCATTTAATGATGACTTGACATGAAAATCTTACATCTTTCTACTTTAACTTAAATTATACCAGGGCCATATGTATTTCTATGTATATAAAATACAATTGAAGTTGCAGATATCACCTTTAAGATTCTGTTTCATTCAAAGTAATAATCAAAGTTTTTTCCAGGATCCTGGTTTTTCTAAATATTCACATTCAAAAGAGGTATATTCAGTAATGGTATTGGTAGATGTAGTGAGGATAAAGGTACTAAAGTTTGACAAGCTTGTGGTAAATTATTTTCTCCAAAATACTGTAGTAAAATGCTGACGGACCCCACAGGCAGTAAATCCCAAACTCTTTGAGCAAACAAACATAACCACACACAAAATATGGACAAGAGGTAAAAAATTGACATAAAAGTAATTCGTTTCGAGGTCACACACAAACCGTTTCCATTCACGCAGCGAATTGTTGAGCCATGAAGCATCCCTGCGTTTTACTGGCAGCTCCGGACCCTCCCTCTCCCCCCTCTTTCCCCCCCTCTCTCCCCCCCTCTCTCCCCCCTATCTCCCCCCTTCCCCCCCCCTTCACCGCGGGGAGCCGGGTTACACTGCATTTGTGGCCCATCTGTGTGTCAGGC